AGCAACAGCTCATGCATCTTCTCCAAAGGGAGGGGTTCTGCATCCTCTCCAGGCAGGGGAGGAAAAGCACTAAGCTGTGATTTCTCAGCCTGAGGCTGAGATTTGTTCCTGTGTTTCAGTGTTTTGGTGTCAGTCCTGATAGCCACAGCTGTGAGCGTGCAGGGAGAGGGTCCCTGAATGCAGAATGCTGAGAGTGGGCTGTGAGCAGTGCAGGATCATGCCAGCTCTAACAGGACAGCATTTCTCTCTTCTTAAATGACAGAAAAACTTTATTTCCTTCAGTTAACACAAGCACTGCTAATCCAGCCTTGCGTGGAAACTGATGGAGTCTGAATAATCCAATCCTCCACTACCAGGACCTAGGCTAATGTAACAGCCCCTGAACCCTCCCATGAAAAACATTTGGAAGGAGTTCCAAGAGAGCTGGGAAAGCCCAAGGAGAAGCCCTGAGATCTCTCTCCCCACTGCTGTGTGCCCCCCCTGCAGATCAGGCACACCCAGGGGTTGCACTGGCATCAAATGAGCAAAATGAGCAGCCCCTGGGAATCACTGCCACATTCCATGTTCTGCTGGCTCTGTGCCCACACCAGCCATGGCAAACTGCCCCTGTGCCACGTGGGGAACAGAAACAGGGGAGAGCAAAGGTCCACAGCGCAACTAGAGTGATCAAAGGAACCCAAACTAAATTCCCAAATGGATTATTAAAAAATTATACCAAAGAAAAAAATTTAGCAATAAAAAAATACCTACTCTAGACAGGGCGGCTTACTCACAAATGATAAAAAAACCTCAGAGAGGATGTATTTTTCAAATGCAATATTTTATATCTCAATGGGCAGACATGAAAAAAATTTGTTAAAGCAAAGATAACCATTGTTTTGATGGAACTGTGCTTTTAGGACTTAGAGGAAAACTCTCTCTTCCCCTCTTGGCTGCTTGTAACATGTGAATAATCAGCCCAAAGTAAACAACATGTGGTCTTGTGTGGTCTTTTCATAGGAGGTTGGTATTTCACTTGAAACTAGGAAGTGACAGGAAGTGGGGAGTTCTGCACAGATACAGGAGACCCTGTGCTTTCCCAACAAGCTCTGGAAATGCTGTGTGTTTGAAGAAAAAATCATTCCTGTTGCAGATGGGAAATGCAAAAAAACTTACATCTAAATACATAGAATGAATAAATGTTTGAGTCACATAACTAAAGAATTTTGTGTAGCCTAACTTACATTTCCTGACTCCTTCATGAGCATTTCGATGCTCCAGGGTCACTGAGTACCAGTCAATTCTTAAACTGCAGTGTTAAAGGAGTTCCTGAAAGCAACATAATTTGCAATATAGCTCTTGATGTGTGGTGGTGGCTGACATAAATCACCCACCTGGGAAGAGGAGCAGTGCCAGGCAGGCAGAAAGGCTCAGCCCAGCAGGGGCTGTGCTCCCCGTGTCAGGAGTCCATTGGCTGCTTTCTTCAGCTGGCTCCTGAAGGAAAGATGAGTGCTTAACCTGCTGCTGCCCATTTTCACACACACATGGGCTGTGGATATTTGAGTTGGTTTTCTGAGCCACTGCTTGCTCACCCAGCCCCAGCATGCCCCAACTCCTCCTGCCATGGCAGGGAATCACACAAAGCATCAACTCCCCGAGTTTGCCAACTGCCTGCTCCCTTTCCCTGCCCCAAAATCCCTCTCCCACATGACCTATCCATATCCCCAGCCCTCCCTCTGTGTGGTTTTGACCTCCAATCCAGCTCAGCCAAAGCCCAGGAGGAGTTTGTTCCCTCCAGGCACCCCACAGGATCTGGCTGGGTCGCTGTATCCCCCAGGCTCAGCTTTGTGCTCTGTGGAGTACAAGGGCAAGGGGACACAGCCTGCTCTCACACAAAATCCTTCCAGTCTGAACTGAAAATGCAAACTGGAAGCCATTGCTTTGAATACTGGGGCTCATGTGGTCTTGCCTTCATTTCTGGGCTTGTCACTTCTGAGTTAAATATCCCATCACCTTCTCCCTCTGTGGCTCTTGTCACCTCTGATTTCTCCTAAGTTATCTCATTTCAGTCAAAAAATCTCAGTTCAAAAAACAGGTTGCCAAAGCATCTCCTTAAAAGCCCTCTGAAATCAACCTACTACCTTGTAGATTGGGAAGTGAGATAGAAAAGAGATTTTAAATAACAATAAAATACTCTGAAAAACACTCATGCGCACTCGCATGAGTAAGTACACATCCTTACACTTGTCCGTGCCTTCTGTGTCTTTTCTCTGACATTACTGGCTGTGAGCACAGTGTGTCACATCACACCAAATGCTGTGTTTGTGCTGGAGCAGGACTGTTTTTCTGGAGCCAAATACCTCACATTTTTCTGAGCCCTGAGATAGCAATCACACCCCATACACTGGGGAAGCACTCTGGGCAGGCACAGCTCTGCAGGGCTCCAAGTGCTTTCCCAACACCTCCCTTGAAGAAAGAGCTGCCCAAACCAGTTCCTTCCTTCTCCCCAAAAATGAAATCTCACTGCCACATTTCCCTGGGGTGCAGCTCAGCCCCTTGCTCCCCACAGCACCAGCACTGGGGACATTCCAGAAATGCTTCCAGCTCCTAACTCTGCTCCTTTTCCTGAGAGCTCACCCATGATTTAGTCAGATTTTTTATTTTAAATAGTTGCTCATTTGAAAGCAGAGAGGGGTGCATCTATTCTGGAAGGTTCCCTGCCCAGGTCCTCATTGTTTGGTATATCCTACTAGAATTGGAGCACAGACCAAGAAAATATTAATCTGAATTCATTTCCATTTGTAAATAACAGATTGAAATGAAAGAGTGAATGCAGATTTAACAGCATTAGGATTAGCTAGCAGAATAAGCAAAAAAAAAAAAAGAACCATGGAAAAAAACCTCACAAAAAAATTTTAAAAGCCAGTTCTTTGAGATTAAGGAATTTTGACAATTAAGCTTTATGATTTTCTGCTGAACCAACCAACAAGTCAAAATATGTCATTATTTTTTTTTTAAATCCAAGAACTAACAAGGAAAAAAATAAATCAATGTTTTAGTCTGTTATAAAGGCGCCTTTTTTTTTTTTTTTTAATATCAGGATCTGAAGATTACTATAGAACATAACTAAAATGTAAACAGCGCAAGATTGCCAGTGATGAGCTGTGCCAGGGTGCAAGTTTGAGATGACAAGGGCAGAACCAACTTGTTCTGGACTTCTGCATGATGTGGGGGTGAATAAAACAAAATAATCTCTTCCAGTTACAAGTAGGATGAAAGGCAGCTGCAGAGTCACTCAGAGAGGCACAGGTCGGAAATCCCTGGGGATAACACAACCCTCACCTGCAGGAGCAGCAGGCAGGACCTGCCTCTGCTGCAGCTCTCTCAGGAGGCAGGGCTGAGCTGAGAGACATCACAGGATCTCAAATGTTGCCTGCAGGAGGCTCACAATCCCCACCACACTTCATTTTAAGGAAATAAAGTATTTCTTTTATTACAGGTGCTCAACCAGCACAGGCACAGCCTGGGAGCTGCTCGGGTCCACAGGACACAGCAAACCCACACAGAGATCATTCCTCACTGAAGTGCTGGGCTGGTTTGTTTTTCTGTGAGGTGAATCATACTCTGCCCTTTGGGTTTAATACCTACATCCTTTTCTAGCAAAACTTCCTACCACCTCAGCTCTGTGAATTGCCTCATAACATCCCACTGGCGTCAACAGCAACAAGGGTTGGTCACCCCTTCTCTGTGCCCCAGAACAGCACAAATCTGCCCCTTTGCAGCCACCTCCAGCTCTCACAGGTCAGTGTTTGCTGGCCCCTGGTACATCTCTGCCATGAGCTCCCCTCGAACACAACTCATGTGGACTCACTTTGGTATCCAACAAACCACAACAGGATTCCTGCAGGTGGGAGCTGTGATAGATCCCGTCTCATCAGAAATCTCAGGGTAGGGAAGTTTAGATCCCCACTAAAACACAAAGTTGCCTTTTTAGGTTTTTTGGTGTTTGGCTTATGTCTTTTTATCCTGCCTCCCCCCATTGCTCGTTTCAGGGTCTGATGAGACTCGAAAAGAAAATGAAACACAGCCATTAATTTGGGTACCCAGTGCTCAGACACTTCCAATAAATTGCCCAGTGCCTTGCTGTAATTTAGCTCAGGAAAGCAGTCCTTTTGCTAAATTAAAGATATTAGAAGCCTTATGAATAAAGTGATCCTAGGCTTTGCCCCCTAATTCATTACCATTTTCATTTAATTTCCCTTATTTCACTCACACCTCATTTCAGAGCTGGCCAAGTCACAGCCACAGAGGTTCACTATCACATGGAGAAATCCACGTGCAGGCCATCACCACGGGCTGCAGCAGCACCCTGGGAGCAGCAGTGGCTGCAGAGGAGGGAGCTGCACATCCCGGCCCGGGTTGCCATGGCTACCAGAGATGCTCAGCGAGATGAGATTGCCATGGCACCGGCAGCAGAGGCCACCGGGGCAGTGGACACACTCCTGACTCCAGACGCCATCGTTTTAATTAATAAGGAAATGTAATGGAGCCAATTACACATAGGTAATGCAGATTTATTTCTGGGGCCATTTCTGCTGGACTAAACTTAGCAGAGGTTCTAGTCCTGCTTTAAAAACAAGTGGCAAATCTGCACGAGTTTGTTAACAAAATAAATCACAGACAAAACATATTGGATTTCTATTGTTACAACAATAAAGTGGGGGCAATTAATATGGATTAAACACAAGTAAAAACCAAATGAGGATCCCTCATGTCTACATGAAGTCCATACTGCTTTCTAAAGATGAAAGGTGGAGGTTTCCATCCCAGGAAGCAGACACAGGGCAAGGAAAGCCGAGCAAGCAGCAATCTCCTCTGTACCAGCATTTTTAGTCCTGGAAATTTGTCCACAACTGGGGGTGTTCAAAACTCACTCTGTGTGACTCACAGGCACTCCCGAGCAGGGCCACGTTATCAGCTGCCCCCATTGAATCAGATACCTGCAGCACTGAGACACTCACCGCACACAGCTGAGCTGTTGCCAAGACACCATTCACACTTCTGGCTCCCATTATCATCAGCTAATAATCTTCTGCCCTGGGCTTTCAAAGCACTCCAGAAGGATCCAGGGCTGCTGTAAGAAAACAGAGCAAGAGAAAAAAGCTTCTTGCTCTTGCAAGCAGTCAAATTAAGTTTAGCCCATGGCTTTTACATGCCTCAGATAACCAGGAAACCAGAAAAATAAAATCCTAAATCCATTACTTTAATCATCTGGGGATCTGAGTTGTGAATTTTGAATTACAACTTGCTAGGAGTTGGCAGGAGCAATTAAACTTTAAAAAGCAGACATGACCACAGGTTCCCCTGTCTCCACCCGTTTCTCCCTTGAGTGCTAACAAGCTCTGTCTCTGCTTACATCCACAGCTGGGTCCCTCCTCCTTCCCTGGAGCCCACGGCACAGCCCCATCCCTGCCCAGCTGCTCTCCCATTTTGTTCAGAGCACAGAGGGTTTGAGCAGAGGTTCAGACAGGGGCACAGAACTGTTCATCCTGAGCAAAGCCTTTGGGATCAGCATCTCAGGGCTGGGGCTGGGAAAAGCCCTGCTGCAGAGGCTCCCCAGCATGGACAAGGGCGGGGAGACAGAAGAATTCCAGCCAGCCTCATCTCACCCCGTTATTTTGCTCTGGCTGAAACAAGCTGTTATCTTCAACTCTGCTCTCCTCCTAGGATGCAATCACAGCACTTATGAAATGCTGCTGCTTCTGCAGCACTAAATCCTCAGTGGGGAAATCAGTTCCCCATAGATGTGGGTCTGAGCAGGAGCTGCAGCCCCCCAGTGAGCACCACCTCTCCAGGGCTGTGTGCGCCAGGCTCTGCCCTGCCAACACCCCATCCATGTCCTTACCCTCACCAGGAGGGGAACAGGCTAATCAATGCCAAGGCTGCTGCAGGAAGCCAACAGAGCAATAAATGTCCAACCTCTGCTGTAGCAACCAGACTGTTCTTACCCTCAGGTGGGTTTGTGTCAGACTTAGTTCAGCTGAACTTGATATCAGCCTTCAGAACAGGTAAAATAAAGAAATCCTTACATCTATGAGAAGAAAATTGCAGGCAGATAAAAGAGGGATAAGAACCCCAAACCAACACATTTTGAGGCTGGTGTGATGATACCTGGGTGTGAGAAGTGGAGATTTCTGACTTGCACCCTTCGTTCTATCGCTGGTCACGTCACTGGCTCCAGGACTGAGAGGAAAACACGACGGGGTCACTGCCCAGCAGGAACACGACCTCCAGGGGGTCAGGGACTCTCCCTACAGCAGGAAAACTACAAAGAATGGATTCAGAAGAGATAAAGATTTTTTTTTTATTTTGCTCTGCTATTGTGAAATAGACAGTCAAAAAATCTTTTCAAAATAAATAAAGTAGGACTGGGAACATAATTCTTTACAGTAATGAAAGGTATTGCTTTTTTCTTGGTCCAAAATGTGAGGGAATCAGGTCAGAGCCATGGGTCTTTGCTCTGATGGGAGATTCCCAAATTCACAGGAAAACAAATGTCGCTGCTGCTCACCCAGTCATCCTGCATCACCAAGGCATGCACGCAACTGCTGTCGTAACTGAGTCATTGAGGAGCTGCAAACATTTCCCACCATTTTCCTGTAAGGTTGTGGGGTTTTCGGTCTAGTGACTGAAAAGAAAAAAAACAAGTCAGCTCCAGCCCAAAAAATTAAAATTACATTTTAAATATTACTTAAATTATATTTAAATAGTATAAATGTCTATTGCCATCCTTCACACCTTCTGTCAGCTGAGTTTTCTTACACTGCAGTTTCAGGGAATGAAGAGAAAAACACCAGTAGAGATTTTTTTTCTTTGAAATTACCAACACAAGTATTTCATTTCATTAGCTGAGGAAATCAAATAAATTCAAGTAAAGGATCTAACCTCGCACAGTCTGAGTTACTGATTCCCTCAGTGCTGCAGGAGCATTTCCCCCCAGTGGCTGCAGTGACAAGGGGCTCTGTCACACTTGTTTGCTGATGTTCCCAGCAGTTGGGGACCCCCGGGCTGAGGTGGGTGCAGCTGCTCCAGCCCCAGCTCTGTAAACACCTCCAGAAATGACGCCTGCTCACACCAAAAAACTCCTGCAGACAGCAGGAGGTACAAACTCCAGAATAAAACAGATGAAAGAAAGGGATAATGAAGAGGGTTAAAGCTTCAATATACTTTAGAAAAAAATTCGACAAGACTTGTGTCAACTCAGTTAATACAGAAAGTCTTTTGCTGCAGCGAACACGTGCTTCCGATTTTAAAAATGATTTATAAATTAGGAGTAAGATACCAGATGTGGAGATGATGCAAGCATTTGAGATGCATCAATCTTTAAAACTATTTCTCTCTGAAAACTATGAGAAAGGTCTTGGCAGCAAAATCAAAACGTTTTTTAAAAAGGGTGAAAGGATACTAATTGTTTATTAAGGGGAGCTGGGAAAAAAACCAAAGCAGGACTGTGGACCAGTGGAAGCTGGGTGTAATATTCTGCAGCCTCTGCTGAAGGTTACTACAGCGTCCTTCACTGTATAAAGTCAGTTTTTAGGGGGAATGAGCTCAGCCCAGGGGCTGCTGTGGGGAGGAAAGGCTCCGTTTGCCCGGCGGGGTTTGTGCAGGCCCTGCATG